TCGATCAAGGTGCCAGCAGAGTGATTCTCATCGATGGCGGCGAGGGTGCTTGGAGACTTGACTTTGTCAAGTCCAAGATCCCCAAGGTCGAGACTCTGGACTTTACTAAATTGCCAAGGGGAGAGTCGGTGACTTCGGAATTGAAGAAGAGGGTCCACGGCGGCCCGGATGTGGCTCTTGAGTGTGCCGCCGGCGAATATGCCAAGGGATGGCTGCATTACTTTGAGACCCTCCTGGGAATGGAGACGGACACATCGGAGATCTTGAACGAGATGATCACGTCCGTTCGGTCTTTTGGGCGAGTGGGCGTCACCGGCGTCTATTCTGGCTACGTAAGTCACATTGTCCTCCACGATATCGGGAACACCCCAGATTAACAACTATCGCAGACCAATCACTTCAACATAGGTGCTATGATGCAGACGGGTGTTCGCTTGATCGGTAACGGCCAGGCACCAGTGCAAAAGTACTGGAAGCATCTGTTGGAACTCATCCAGAAAGGTGAAATCAACCCCCTGGATATGGTCACGCACCGCGTGCGTCTGGAGGACATGGAGAAAGTTTACGAGATTTTTGACAAGCGAGAGGAGGGCATGCAAAAGATCTTTGTGCAGACCAGATTCTCCGCGCCTCCAGCCGCGGGATCCCCGAGTCTGACAGTACTGTAAAAAGGTGCACGTCCTATCTTGGACTGCTGGGGGAACCATTTGAGCAGCTTAAGGAAGGTGCAGATAAATTGTAGTCATGATGGATGAATTGGGAGGTTGTAATTTGTTCTTGGGATTGATTGTTCGATGCTATGGGATGACATTGTCTCAATTATGAAGTGACTATTATTGTCTACCTATTTGAAGCAAACTTTCCGTCGGAATATCTGAAACGGTAATACTGCATGATGTACTGTCTATGAACCGCTCATACTAATGCATATAACTACAGACAATGCACCTAGGATTGACAGTAGCAGCAGTAAACCGGCCCGGGTTTCGCCATTTTGTTTTCGCTGATCGGCATTCCATGGCTGATAACCACGGAATGAGGACCGCAGCAAGGACATGATTGGGAAACCGACCGAAAACTCTCTCCTTCATACTAGATATGGAAACGGTCACAGATTTACTCAACCAAACGGTCAGCAATATGTTGGGCAAATAAGCGAATACAGCCGAAACAACCGAAACAAGTAAGGTGGGATCAGATAAGATCAGATGATAAAGGGATCATCAGTAGCCGGGTCAAATCATATGTCATTGACCGTCGGATTTTGCTCATTATTCGCTCACCCGGCAGAGGTCATTGTGGATGCCGTTACAGAGTCCTTATCAGATGGAGTTGTGATTGGTGTTTCTCAATTCCCATTTCTAAGGTCCCGCCTGAAGCCTTAAATGACTGCTACTTCTGAGCATACTTTTGCAAACGTGGAGGTATTCCGGAGTCGAGTAAGTTGAAGCGAGATATGATTGTATTGCTGCTCAGTGTAGCAGTAATATTGGCTTAACTCAGAGAAATGAGCTCACTACTGCCTCTTTCTACTGGATGCAGGCAACTGACAGATCATTCAGCACTGGGAGGGGTATCACCAAAGGCCGAAAATTCCGCCCTGAACATGGTTAGTCCCAGAATGGAGTACCATTCCACACGGTTCCCAACTGTGGGGAATATGATAAAAAGTTTGTCATGGACTGGAAGAAAGTGAGAACGAAGCAGCCTTTGAATTAGAGGATTCTATATTGCTTCGAGGTAAGGAAGCCCTGTCAGGTATTCATATATGTGTGTGTGCTCTGTCTAGTGTCTCACGTCGTAGTCCGATTTCAAGGAACTCAGTATCAACGCAATGACCAAAGTATTTAAAAAGTACGAAGCTGTTCTAACCATGCTGCAGTAGTGAGATTTCACAAATGCAGAGCACCCTCTATGGACCAAGTGGACTCATGGTGGATCGTCATATACCCTAACTAACCCATCTACGGAGTACTTACCTAGTACACGCACCGCCGAAATCGGGAAGACGCGCACGATAATCTAATCTGATCGATTCTCTTTTATTCGCCTATTCGCCTTCCTTTCCTCTTTAGTTCTCCCTTACTCTTCTGACTCTTCTCTCCTCGGCTTTTGCTCGCGCTCTTCTATTCTCCAGCAATTCGATTTGTCCTTATTTACATTTTTCCCATCAGTGACTGAAACTACTCATATAATTTCTCTGCTGAGAAAAATTACCAAACCCAGCTGAGAGTTTCTTATCTTCATTGAGCTCATTGGCTTCTTCTCCGACTCTGATGCGTGCACTTCCGCTCTCCCGCCCGAGCCTCCCCAAGTGACACCACCAAAAGTTAGTCTCTTCCTTTCCCTGCTTCGTCCACCTTCCTCCGATGCCACCCACCATCCTCCTCCACCTTGTTCATTTTTCATCATTAGAATTTAAATATCCCACTAATGTCCATCCAGATCGCTTTCCTGAGATATAGGGAGTCTCATCATCCGTAATAATGTCTACACCCTCAATAGCTCCAACACCTGCTTCACTTGTGCCGGCATTGGCTGCCAAGCCAGCTATCTCACCATCGCCTGGTCCGGGCACACCCGGGTCAATCACCTCCAAGGAATGGGTAATCCCACCACGACCAAAACCAGGCAGGAAGCCAGCCACAGATACGCCTCCTACAAAGCGCAAGGCGCAGAATAGAGCCGCCCAGCGTGCCTTCAGAGAACGGCGAGCTGCTCGCGTTAATGAGCTCGAGGACCAAATCAAGAAAATTGAAGATGAGCATGAAATCCACATTGCGGCGTACAAGGAGCAGATCACGAATCTCTCGCGCGAGGTGGAGCAGTGTCGTTCCGAGATAACCTGGTGGCGCGATCGATGCCATGCTTTAGAGAAGGAGGTATCGGTGGAAAGAAGTGCCAAAGAAGCTATTGTGAAGGAGTTCCGATCGTCACTTTCGGACCGGAATGCTGCGAACTCCGGTAAAGAGCCTCTTCCTCTTGCCACATCCGCTCAGAACCGTTCCTCCGACCGTCCAAACAGTGGTGATGCGTCCAACAATGACACTGGAGAGGGTCGAGAGGAGGTACCCTTAGGCTGCAATGATTGCTCCACATCGCACTGCCAGTGCATCGAGGATGCTTTCACCATGCCGGGAGTTGTGGCTCAGGAACAGTCCAGACGTCTTGATACTACCAAGCCTGGTCGTTCCGAGCCTGAGATCAAGCCAGACCCGGAAGAGATGGAAATTGATTTCACTTCCCGATTTGCCGCCATCCAACAACAGGACCATTCGCCGACATCCGTTTCATCGCCTGCTGTTGATCCTTGTGGATTCTGTTCAGATGGCACACCGTGCATTTGCGCGGAGATGGCTGCTCAGGAGGAACAGCGTCCGCGAAGGAACTCTTTTGAGAATAACCGACTTGCACCTATCCAAAATCTGTCCCAATTCACACCACCCCCTTCCGACGGCGACGTTCGCTCGGAAGTTACGCTGCCACCCATCAGCCAGGCCACAAATCCCTGTGCAAACGGGCCAGGCACATGTGCTCAGTGTCTCGCGGATCCCCGGAGGACCCTTTTCTGCAAGACTCTGGCCGCCTCCCGATCCCCGAGCGCCGCCCCGTCGGGATGCTGCGGAGGCAAAGGCGCCGATGGCGGGTGCTGCCAGTCGCGTAACACCAATGCCTCACGAGGCGGGCCTGGTAGCAATAACAACTCGACGTTGGCATCTTCGACCGCACCATCCTTGACTTTATCTTGTGCCGACGCCTACACGACCCTCTCACGTCATCCTAATTTCTCTCGGGCCACCGACGAGCTATCAACATGGCTGCCCAAGCTTCATACCTTGCCTAAACCTCGGGACTTTCCCTTAAACGATCGTGGGGTACCAAGGGCCGCTATGGAAGTTGAGGCTGCGAGTGTGATGGGCGTGTTGCGATACTTTGACCGGCGGTTTGCTGATAAATAAGCTATCGCATCTCTTCGTGCAGCAATCACTTTCGTCCTTGACTTTCTCTTCACTTTTTGATGATACCCAAAACTGACTCGTGACATGTCTGAGTTTGTAATATACACCTACCCCAGCAGCACCCCTTTTTCCTTTTCTTAGCTCCTTGAACTGGCGTCCACTATTTCACAATGGCTTTTTCTCTATTTTCTTCTGTACTCCCTCGTCCCGCTGGAAGATGACCAGCGACCATGACACTGGGGCCGCATGGCTGCAGCCCATGCCTTCATTGATGTCGGCTGCGGCAGGTCGGGATTTACCAAAGAAGATGCAACCAGAAAAAATGCTGTCTGGTCGAAGTATCGCGATGGGGTATCAACCACGATTAGATGGACATGTACGTGAATGTGATGATTTAGACGGCGAAACGAATGGCGTTCTTGGTTACTTTGCTATCAGACTTACAAATTTCTGGAACATCTTCGACTACAACCTATGCCAAACGATGAAAACAATGGTTTTAGACAGGATTGTATATATCTTGACCGAAATAAACAGGAGAAAAGAGTCATTCCATTTCCGCCCGATGTTCCGGATGCTTGAAATAGGGAACCAGGGATGTACAGAGTTGGTCTTGACCTGCCGACTGTGATGAACGAGTCCATTGTTTTTGAAGTGCTTGAACCATCCATGGTGGTCGACGCCAGGTAACTTCTATCGAATGATGTACCGGTACAGACATAAATAAAAGAGCACGGAGATGGAGCTTCGAGACTTCGCCTTCTTGGAAAATGGGTATTATCTACATACAAGCATACATACGTACATGGACCAACAGGTATCGCTAACGGGCGCAACGCCTTCCACTCCTGCCCCGGCTCCGAACGCAAAATAACTAATACAGGGCGAGAATATCGCAAAAGAGAGGAGTGAGTGTGGAAGTCCTCCAAATGTGGAGTCGAGAATGGTTTCGATAGGTAGGGTAAAGGGTGAAAGAAGCGGGCGTTAGTCAAGAAATTGAACAGGGCGCATATATCCCCAAGCTTCAAGACCCAAAGCTGATCAGAAACGACCACCACTAACCATCACTTCCTCATCCCCTCCGCCTCCGATGGAGCCTAACAGGCCGGCGCCCCAAATACCGGCGATACCCCACATACCGATTCTCCAGCCCCGATACAGGCCGCCGATGCCTTGTCCCTGGCGTTTCTTGAAAGAAATGGGCTTCCCGAGAGCCCGCTCTGCATCGGAAGAGGGCGCGCTGACACCCTCCTCATAGACTATGCCCCACATCGTTCCTACAATGCCACGGTAGGTCTGAGGAACGGGAACAATGGTCTCGACCACAGATGTCTCCTCAGTGGCAGCGGACTTGCTCGAACGAGAGGTGGCGGCATACTTCTGCCGGATACTGGGTGATGTGTACGTGGCAATCTGTGCACGACGCAGGACAGTTTCCAKCGGAAATCGAACAGCAAGCTCCAGGCCGGACCCCAGGAAAGCAAGAAGGCTCCACATGGAGGGATTCAAAACTGGGTCAATCGATAGGTAGGACTTGAAAAACAGCGGTGTGGTAGTTGTGATAAAATTCGGTAGACTCGAGTGCAGGATAGTGATAGGAATCAGGTGAGAAGGGATCATGCAGTTGGGAGTGGGGAGCTGTCGAATCGCTCGGAGGAGCGAGCGCGGCCCATGAGTCGCTGGGGTGAGGATGAGGAAGGTGCGAGCGGTGTCAATCGGGGACAACAGCATGGCGGATAGTGACGAAGAAATAAAGGAGAGCACCAAAGTTGCAAAGGGTGATGTCGATGTCAGAATATCGGCTGTCATGGATGACGCAATATCCTCTTCTGGTAATCCCACAATGGCAGATAAGAGACTGCGTATAAAGGTGTTCAACGTCGGAAGGAGTAGAGAGTAGATAAAAGTCGCGTTGGTCGCTTTCCATGGCGAAGTTGGGCCACTGGTGGTCCACAGCTGTGATAGGACCTCCATCAACGAGGAGGGGCTCTTGATTGCAAGACTACACTTGGGCGAGGACGGTGGAGATGGTATATAGCCGCTGCGGTCTGTGATATGGCGTCGAGACTTTCGGCTCCGTCCAGCTGTTGGCGATGTGGCCATGGGAGCTGCAGAGGTAAAGTAACTGCTCTCGTCATCTGAAGTTTGGGAGTCCTGTCGCCATCAAAGATGCAGGTCAGTAACCGATTCCGACACACGCCATGAGGACATTCCAGATGGTGGCAGCTCATACTTCATCACTTTCATCGAACGAGTCCATCCGACCTGACCTCCTGCGTTCATCCGCAGGCCGTTGCCCATCTTGCGAGTCGGGCACCACATACGCCTGTAGGATGGTTTTGGCGACGTCAAATGGCTGGGCAGTCAGCACACTGGTGTAGCGCCAAATCGCAGCATCCATTGCATCTCGAATCCATTCTGATAGCGAGGGAGAGCTCTCCAAGTACTCTGAATAGTCAAGATCCGGTAGCAGGTCGCGAGCGGAGCTTCCGAAGACCTGTGCGGAAGACGGAGCGGCGGTATGTGAAGACGAGGAGGCGTTGGAAGCTTCAAGGCCAAAAGACGGAGGGATATAGTACGGGCGTAGAGGATTGGGCCCTTCACGGGTAGAGTTCATTATGGAGGCGTTATATCAATCAGTAGATATAGCCTGTAATATTAATGATGTGAGATAAATGGTGGGTAAATCCTTTTGCCCAAAGCCGGAAGATGATTTTAGATGGAGCTACGGAAAGTGACGCGGATGGATTTCTCAAGCTGCGCTTTATGTCCGAATTTCCCGCCTTTTCGGGATTTTCTTTTCTTACGTCCTTCGACCATATAGATATCTTCCTCATTTCTGCTCAGCGTCCAGAGCTGTCTTACGCCCTGTGAAGGGGATATATTCCTTTGATCGTTTAGTAGCCTGTACATTGTATTTTTTTTCGCCTGCGATTATCCGTCCTCATGTCGTTCTGGAGGGAGGCTTGCCAGCAACTGCGTCATGCAGTACCAAAAGCTGTGAAGGGTGATCGCATGTGGCTGCMATATTCCAGGAGATTTATCAGCAATTCTACACAAACGATGCGAGTTCAGCCATATGGCAGGAGAATTGCGCAGATTGGAGGTGGTCAGAGGACATTCAACTCCCCGCGGCGAAGCTTCTCGGTGACTGCAGGAGTGCAGCACGGCCATATTACACCTCCCAAACCTGGCGAGGAGTGAGTCAATTCCAGGAGGAAGGGGCCGGCCATTCGATGCCTCGTTTGTCGCTAATTTAAGTCATCCAGGCTTCATGTGTCATTCATCGATAAAGACGGACAGAAGCACGACTTCGAGGTATCTGAGGGAGACAACCTGCTGGACATTGCGCAGGCCAACGATTTGGAAATGGAAGGTTCGTAATTACTCCTGGGCTGTGTACGCGACTGTCGACCTGCTTTTGGCTCATCTTAATTCTCCCGTATAGGTGCTTGCGGAGGGTCTTGCGCTTGCTCGACCTGCCATGTCATTGTTGAGGACCCGGAGGTATTCGACAAGATGGAGGAGCCGTCCGATGATGAAAACGACATGTTGGACTTGGCGTTTGGATTGACGGAGACATCACGTCTGGGATGTCAGGTGGTGATGAACAAGGATCTCGACGGACTTGTTGTCCGACTACCTTCCATGACACGGAATCTGCAGGCCAGCGATTTTGCGCAGAATAAATGAAATGATGGAGAGGACCGGAACAAAGGCGATCTGTATATTACCAGGAATTTCCCCCTTTCATGAATGAGGTTACATGAGCAGATTGGATGTATGTGGACAACAATGATCATATTTACTGGGTATCTACAAGGACGATCCGGCCTATCGACTCGTAGGAAGTCAAATAAATGTGTAACAGGTGTATAACTTTTGTTCAGAATGCAAGAAACATCGTCCAAACCCCTAACGCCTTGTAAATGCCTTGTTGCCCTGTTCATACAAAAACCGGTTCATCCTGAATAAGAGCGCCTCCTTTAAGCCTCCTCGATGTTCAGCGGTTTCCCCTTCTTGCCACTGATTAACTCAAGAAAGCCCTGTTTGCTGACTTCATTGACGGCCTTCTCTCGTTCACCCATCCCAACGGTACCCTTCTTCCGCTCTTCCCTGGCAGCCTCTTCTCCACGCACCTGGGCTGCGCGAACAGCATTGAACAATTTCACCACACCACGCTGCGCAATCTTCCGAAGACGCTTTTCCTCCTCTGCAACAACACCAGTAAGACCGCGCTCAACGCCCATGACATCACGCACGCGGCCACGATCTAGCTCCTCCCTCTTTTCTGCGCGGAGCTTCGCCCGCGCCTGCTTGTCCAGTTTCTCGTCCGCAAGTTCGCTAGTAGTTTGCGCTGCCGATTTACTGCGTGAAAGGACCGGGTCCGCCCGAGCTGATGTAGGCAGTTTGGTCGAAAGAATCTTGGAAATAGATGTTGAGAATGCGGTAGGGTCATTTCGTTTAGCGACGGGCTTGCGTCCGTTTGTCGATGTGGGTAATGAGGTGTCCGAGTCTCCATACTCATCATCCTCGATATCAGAGGAACCTGGCGAGTCCAATGCATCGTTGCCGTCCGCGTCGCTGTCATTGTCGCTAGCAGCAGAGCTGTCGTCGCTGTCTTCTGCTTTCCTCTTCTTTTGTGCGCCTAGCGACCTTGTTTCGCTCGCTGATGGCTTCTGTGGCTTCTCTTCCACCGGCTTCTCTTCTTCCTCCGCATCGGAATCAGCGAGATCGACTGCTTGGAAATCGGTGGGCTGTTCATCTTCCGTTTCGTCGGAACTGCTGTGGTATTCGCGCTGCTTTCTGAACTTCTTCTTGGGCCGACCGGCCTTATTCTTCAGACTGTCCAAGACCTTGCGCTTCTTCGCCATTGGAGGAGCCATCGTATTTGTTTTTCAAATGCGTTGGTGAATCAAAACCGATGCTGGTTGTGCGTTGTCTCAGCGGTGGCATTGTACAAAGGGACTTTTTTTCGCATTTTCTTCTTCTGGCGGGCGGGATAGGGTATCCCGAGCTCCGATTGGCTGGCGGGGGCACTCGAGACTCTCCGCATCGCTTCTTGCTGTCCTTTTGCTTGTGCATCTCGTTGCCCACAAAAGCAGTCCCATCTTCTCGCAGTGACACTCCGTATATCTACGGATTTGTGGATTTAATTCGAAGCACTCCTTTTCTTCTATCATCCCTTCTAACAGAGCCAATATTCGCCATGGTCCTCCAGGATCTTGGGCGGCGAATCAATGCCGCCGTCAATGATCTGACACGCTCTAGCAATTTGGATGAGAAGGTGAGATGCTCTCTCTCCCCTCTTGTCCTGGGAAGTCTTTGAACCGATGCTGATAGTTGTTAGGCTTTTGATGACATGTTAAAAGAGATCTGTGCCGCATTGCTATCTGCAGATGTCAACGTTCGCCTCGTTCAGACCCTCCGGAAATCCATCAAATCCAGCGTCAACTTCTCCTCGTTGCCACCCGCCGTCAACAAGAAGCGCTTGATCCAAAAGGCCGTTTTTGATGAATTGGTAGCGCTGGTTGATCCGCATGCAGAGCCATTCCGCCCGAAGAAAGGACGATCCAATGTGATCATGTTTGTGGGGTTGCAGGGTGCGGGAAAGACGACAACGTGTACTAAGCTGGCCCGACATTATCAGATGCGCGGGTTCAAAACAGCGCTTGTCTGTGCGGATACTTTCCGTGCGGGTGCTTTTGATCAGTTGAAGCAGAATGCCACCAAGGCCAAGATTCCGTATTATGGTAGTTTGACGCAGACGGACCCCGCGGTGGTGGCAGCTGAGKGTGTTACCAAATTCAAGAAGGAACGGTTCGAGGTTATCATCGTGGATACCAGTGGTCGGCACAAGCAGGAAGAGGATCTTTTCACCGAAATGACACAGATCCAGAACGCCGTTACTCCAGACCAGACAATACTTGTCCTCGATAGTACCATCGGTCAGGCGGCCGAGGCTCAGTCAGCAGCCTTTAAGGCTACTGCTGACTTTGGTGCAATCATTATCACGAAGACGGACGGCCATGCCGCCGGTGGTGGTGCCATTTCAGCTGTTGCTGCGACCCACACGCCGATCATCTTCCTGGGTACAGGAGAGCACTTGATGGATCTGGAACGCTTCGAGCCGAAGGCTTTCGTTCAGAAGCTCCTTGGGATGGGCGATATGGCCGGTCTCGTAGAGCATGTGCAGGCGGTAACCAAGGACTCGGCTGCCGCCAAGGAAACGTACAAGCATATCGCGGAGGGTATCTACACGCTGCGAGATTTCCGTGAGAATATCACCTCGATTATGAAGATGGGTCCCCTTTCGAAACTCTCCGGCATGATTCCCGGACTGTCCAACCTGACCGCTGGCTTGGACGACGAAGACGGGTCGCTCAAACTTCGCCGCATGGTTTACATCTTCGACAGCATGACCGCCGCTGAGCTGGACAGTGACGGCAAGTTATTTGTAGAGCAACCGAGCCGTATGGTCCGCATCGCTTGTGGCAGTGGAACGACTGTCCGCGAAGTTGAGGATCTCCTGTCTCAGCACCGCATGATGGCTGGCATGGCCAAGCGAGTGGGCGGGCAAAAGAAACAAATGCAGCGTGCGCAAAATATGCTCAAGGGCGGCAACAAGGAGCAGCAGCTGGCGGCCATGCAGAAGCGGATGGCGGCCATGGGTGGTGCTGGTGCGGGCGGTCTTCCGGGAATGGGTGACATGGCAAAGATGATGCAAATGCTGCAGGGTCAAGGCGGCGGTGGTATGCCAGGGCTCGGGGGAATGGACTTGCAGAGCATGATGAGCCAAATGAGTGGTTTGATGGGTGGAGGAGGAGGACGAGGACGGGGACGGTGATTTTAAGCCAGTTTTTCTTCTTCGTTCCGAGAGTCACGGCTGTCTACGTTCATGCATCCTTCTTTTTTATGTTCACTGGATGATTACTTCCATACTTATCCGGTGCGTTTGGGCGGTTGATCTGTAGCTCGGATCAGTCTAGCATTTGTACGGCGTTGGGCGTGCCTTTCTATTATGACCTTAACATATAACCATACTTTTTTGACACTTGACGCTGTATAGCTCAGAGGAAGATGTGAATGCGAGCGAGATGAGATGATTAAATTTTCCAAACTCCAGTACAAAAGTAACTGCCAATAAATAAGTTGAATAGAAGCCCATTTGTCGACACACGAACGATATCAGTCCAATCTCTCCGCTCTCTCAGTCTTATCCAGCAACTCATAGAATTCGTCCAGGGCTCGGCGTCCAAACTGGCGGGCTGCCTCCTCAAATCGACCCACCATATTCTGAATTGCAGTATCCCACCCTTCCGCTTCCCGATTGTCCACCAGCACCTTGCCAGGAGGCAGTCGCGGATGCTTGGCGGACGATGCCTCCATGAGGGAATCGTACTCGGGCAAGGGAACGCTGAGTTTGTATTTCCAAACAACCTGGTCCTCCACGTAGAGGGTATACGTCAGGACGGAACTCGGGACCATCACGGGCGTACCGGACGCGGTGTCGATCTCCTCGTCTTGGACACTGATGTCAACATGGCCGTACTTGACGTTGCCGTCGGGGACGTATTTGATCGCCACATCCTCGGTGTCGGTCTGCCGGTATGTGCGGATGGGAAGATAGAACATGTTGAGCGGGCCGACGCTGAACTCGTGTACGCCTTCTCCCGCCGTGTGCGCGAGGAGATCCTCGCCGGTGTAATCCAGCGTCGGGTCGGGGAAGCGGGTGGCCCCGAACTCGTGGCGATCGCCGCTGAGAAGGACGACGCGGACGCCGAGCTCGCGCTCCGCGCGCCACATGGCTTCGAAAACGGTGCGGCGCTCGTGCAGGAACCCGCCCCAGGTGTCAGTGGTGCCGACGTGCCAGTTCTTGGTGAAGGGGACGCTGGAGGCGACGATCTTCCAGCGGACTTCGGCGGGTTCGGGCCGGGCGAGGTACGCGAGGAGGGATTGAAGCTGGGCGGATCCCAGGATGGTAGAGTTGACTTGCTCCGGCTCGGAGCGATAGGTGCGTGTGTCAAGCATGAAGAAGGAGGCCGGGCCGTGGATAAACGAGAAGTACGTCGTGTTCTCGGGTTTGGCGAACGCCATCGGTGGGATGGGAGGATTCACGCTGACATGGTAATGCATATATGGGTCGGCGGCGGCGGGATAGGGCGCCGTGGTGTTTCCTTTGGACCAGTCATTGGCAATCTCGTGGTCATCGAGCGTATGTATCCAAGGGAGGCCAATGGCGTCGGATTTGGACCATGATGGCGACGAATACACCCTGCGATACTCGCTACGGTAATGAGCCACAGACGACCCGAACCGTTGTGGCACATCGACGTAGATGAAGTCGCCGAGGAACATCATGAACGCGGGACGTAGCAGATCAGGCAGTTTGCCCAGCGTCTCGGTCATCGTCTCGATGCCAGGAATACGGAGCGAGTGCGACAGCGGGTTGTATGGGAAGTTCGATTTCATACAGCTCGATGTCACGAATGCCAGTCTGTTGGCCAATTCCGTGCCCGGCAGAGGAGCTGTTACGAACGTGCCTGATTGCTTGTTTGACAGAGAGTAGCGGTAGCCGGACGCCGGCTTCAGGCCCTTGATGGTCACAGACGTCGTGTAATCGGTCGCGTCATCCAGCGAATAGATAATGCCCTCTTCGACCCATTTTGATCGGTCATCTTCCAAGATCTCTTGATAGTAGACTACCAGGGGCAGTTGCGCGGAATCGGGCTCCCGTACCAGCAGATTGGCCGTGGTGGGGGAGACATAACCAATTCGTGAAAAGGTGAGACTCTTGCCTGAGTGAAAGACTACTCCTCGTAGCATGAAGTCAAGAGTCAAAAGCGTAAGCACAATGTTCAGCAAGGCTGTCAGGCGCGTCGCCAGGGGCGATCGAGCACAGGGCAAACCAGTCAACAGCGTCTTGAGCGGCCGAGCTTTAGACGGGCGCTCCATCCTTCCTGGAGACCAATATCAGCACCACGGACAAAAGTACGAAGAAGGGGGCCATCAATTACTGGAGTCTCGGGCATTTTTTCCATTATTGCGCGGAGCAGCACTCTCTGTGTCTTGGTAGATTAAGGACCGCAGTGACGCGAGGTACACTGCCAATGATGTGAAGATAATGGGTGGAAAATGATGACCAGGGACCTAAGTAGCAACTTAGTGGACTATCTCAGAAAATCCAGCTACAAAAGGGAGACCTACCCATCGTAGAAATACAAAGGTCGCCAACCTGAGGATCGCGGAACTCGTCGCGGCGGCAATCCGCGGGAAAGACACCATGTCTGCAAGCCAAGTGGAGGATGAGCTACTGAGAGGGAAAAATCATCTCAAGTCTGGTCAGTTAGTTTTTAGAAATGGGATAACGGTGTAAAACCAGGGTGAAAACAATTACGAAGGAGTGTGTGTGCATGAGACTGAACGACAGCGGCGAATGGGTTGTTCGCGGTATGACGACATCCGCTGCAATTGACTGTTTATGCCACTCTCCATCGCCATCCCAAAGTCAACCTTTCTTTAGATGAGTCTGTCGGTGCTATCAATTGGCTATTGATGTGTACGCATATCCAATGTTCAATGTTTCAGTATTAATCTATTGCTGGTTCATCATATCTCGAAGAACATTCATCAAACTGCTGGCCATAGGTCCAGCGCTGAGCACCTGCCGAGCAGCAGCTAGCACATCCTTCATGTGCATACTAAGCGACATCTCTGCTGCCCAGTGCCATGGGTTCTGTCGCTCACCAGGCATCGAATTGAAGTATTCCCAGCCCATGACCCCTCCAAAGTCCGGAAACTGCTCAACCAACACTGCGAGAATGGGCCCAATCTTTTCTCGCGGGACGTAGCCTTGCGACCCGTTTCCTGGGTTCGTCAGCAGCCCGTAGACAACGCGTTGTGGTGACCATCCTTGCGCCACAATGGCCGCATACATCCGGGGGTCCTCGGCCAGACCCCAGCCGTTGTAGAACTGCGCATTGTACCAGCTGATCTTAGACGCTCGTTGCTGCTCGAGCTGCCGATAATCGAACCCAGAAAGGTTACCAATTCCCAAGAGAGCCGCCGCGACTGGCGCCAGGGTGATGATAAAGCCATCGCCCAAGTCCAGCTTCAATCGGTCAATCAGCCGAATGATGCCGGGCAGAGACATTTCCTCTTCTACATCCAAATCCAGCCCGTCCAGCTGATGGCGCCGAACCATCGCCAGAAGAGGTTGGTAGTATCGCTCGAACTTCTCCTGGTCGCCATCCAGACACCTATAAGACCCCTGCGCTGCCCCGCCGAGCATTCCCATCACCTTGACACCGCTGCGTTTCAGCACGGGCATCTCCGCCCACAGCGAGTTGTACATCTCATGGTCAGGTGGGTCATCGTTGAGCGTGATATGGCCCGGGTCCTCGTTCAGATGAAAAGCTGCGATGATGACGTGGGTAATGCCGGTGTTGTTCTTCACCAGAGGCAGCACAGACACATAGTCGCCTCGGTTCGGACACAGGGTCTGGTGGTAACAAATGAGGCGATGGTGCTCGGGTCGTCCAGGCACTGGAGGCATGATTTATCTTGATTTAGATGTCGCTCAAAAAGATACGTCGATGCAAGCAGTCCTGACTCATGTCGTGTAAGGATCGCTGCGGGGACGAGAGATTAGGAGATGGAACGGATCGTCTGTTGCCCCGCTAGGAATGTCGACTGGGGAGTCCGTTCAAAGGTGGACACCGTCACTGGTGATGCGCTTATTGAAACATGTGTGGATCACATAGAAATTGACGGCGTTTACAGCGCGAAGATCACCAGAAGAATACCAGATCGAATGAAAGATGACCGGTCTGTTGATAAGGTATGGAGTACTCCGTACCTTGAAAGACTCCAACTTTCGACTCCAAAACAAAAGTTGGAGACATTGCTGACTCAGCTCTCCCCCTCTAAATTAACTATGAAATATACCTCTCTATAACAGACAAGCTCCTATATTATTACTTGCAGGATATCATATCATATCTAACACATCAAATGAAATATACAGTCCTTTACCAAGCTGTATGTCCACCATCAACGACAAGACTGCTTCCCGTCATGAAACTGCTTGCTGGTGAGAGCATGAAGATCGTGGCGCCTGTGAACTCTTCCGGAACAGCCAATCGACCTAGCATGTTCTCCTTCTCCCATGTTTCTTTCAAGCCGGGAACCTCCTCGAAGTTCTTTTGAACCATGGGGGTGATGATATGCCCGGGACACAGCGCGTTCACCCGGATTCCATGCTTCCCCCATTCCATCGCCAGATTTCGCGTGAGCTGAATGACTGCTGCCTTGGAGGCATTGTATGCAGCGCAGGTCAGCCCCTTATTGGCAATCTTTCCTGACATACTGGCCACGAGCACAATGGATCCCGGCCGCTTGGTGTGCATCATCTGCTGCGCGACGGCGTTGGCGGACATGAAGACGCCCGTTAAGTTGACGTCCATCAATTCTGCGACATCTTGGGGAGTGTGGTCTACCGCGTCTTTGACACGCTGAATGCCCGCGGCTGCTACCAGTCCATCGATCTGCCCGTGTTCTTTGGTGATATAACTGATGGTCTTGCTCAGGTGTTCTCTGTCTCGCACGTCGACGTGATGGTAATGTATTGACCCCTCCACGTTCTTGGACGCTTCTTGCGATAGTGCGAAATCGGGGTGAGGAGTGTCTAGTCGATCAAAACAATGCACTGTATTATCAATTGGGTTAGCTTTGAGAAATGATCAGCATGTCCAGCCAGGGGGGAGTCACCTTGTGCGCCCGCTTGTACCATGGCTTCCGCTATGGTAAGGCCCAGTCCTCGTCCGCCTCCCGTAACAACATATGCCTTGTTGCGTAGACTGAAATTGGGATAGGCCTTTTCCGTTGAAGATGCAGCAGGTACTGTTCGAGGATCTTTGCCGTCCTTGAAAGGTTCCGGCTCCAGGCGCAAAGTGGACGACGAGAATGTTCGATATGCCGCAATTGGAGCCGTGACTTTGGAAAGTCGGCCAGATCGAGTGATGGACGCTGGTAGCGAATTGAGTATGCGTATTGAAGCCATTCTTTGCCTGTCTATCGGTAGAGTATGAAATTCCTGGGGTAACCAGTCGTTCGAAGCTTCCGAATGAAGGCCAGTCCTTTATATCTAGCACTACTGCTCCAGTGCATGTTGAGATTATAGAATAGATAAGATCCTGTGGACCATGGGTGAAGTTCAGGGCAAGTTTCCATCGACCAAGGCTGAGGCTTGACTGTAGAGTACTATGACGTTTGCATAAGGTCAGATGCGCCTATCTGAGCCAGATCGCGATCTTGGAAGCTGATGCACGACCAGTCCATGAGTTTGTTGATGTAAACACTGAGATCATTACCTCAGTGGTTTTAGCAAGCAGATTAATATCAAATGTATTCATTCTATTTGTAGTGGCCTGTGCCTGCTGATTCATCTTTTAGTAGGTCTTGATTCTTGACTCTATCTCGACGATCACCCAGCTACTAAGTGTGTGGCCAGCATCATCTCGCCTCCCCTGCATACATAAGACAGTTTCTTATTTGTATGCGGTCACTGCTACCGCTCTGGATTTCTTGTCACTATTCAGTTTACTGGTAAACCGACTCAGCCATCTGTACAAGTTTGCCTGCCCATCCCCACATGATCATTGACGATGTCTTCACCATGACATCTATGGCTGTCAGACGGATTTCGTCTTCCGACCAATCAATGAACGTTCAAAGGAGCAAATCATGATTGTCGATTTCTTACTTTGCCATGCGCAGTCATCTCTAAATTTCAATAAACAGGGAGTGATTTGTTGATCGCCTCCTGACATAGGATATCAAGAGTTCTTGCCATGGAGGAGGCGACTGCAAGTATCCTGGCAGGGCTACATAAATATCTGCCTTGCAGGATAAGACTACAGTACCCACTCTACTGGTGTCAGCTTTTTTGATTGCTTCCGCCAATCGAATCTTTCCGATCTGCATACTTGATCTTCTAACCGAAAATTATGCAACGCTCCCTGTTTCGTCCACATCACCTCTCGAACCGTCTCGGTCGGTCTACATCTCTCTGGCGGACTACAGCCGCAGCGGTCGCAACTAGAGCCGGCCATCACCCAAACCCAGGCAATTTTGCCAACCGGCCCAAGGAAGAGCTCTCCGAGATTGGTCGGAAGGGTGGTCGCAAGGGAGGTAAAGCCAGGGGTGTTGGAGGCTTCCATGATATGGACCCTGAGAAACAGGTGAGACTAGGGAGGCCATGCATCATGCTACGCACATAGTGACTCGTCCATCCACAGCACGAAATCGCTTCGCGAGGAGGTCGTGCGACCAGGAAAGCAGCTGAGCAAGCGGAGAAACATCAGGGCGTCGCTGCAGAGAGACGTCGCACTCATGAGCCTTCAGCAGCAGGCCCAGGGTTTGAGGAGTCATGGCCGGCATAAATGTCTCCAAAGTTTTATGATGTAGATTATAGATAGATGCGATGTATATCTAGATGTAGACAGAATCAATATCCTGGATACTAGATACCTCTCTTAAGTAGCGAATATGAGCCCCATACCATACAACAGAGTACTGCAGATGTTACGTCACAGTCATGGTTCCGCCAGTCCAGTCCCAATCAGGCATTCTATAAACAACCTAATGTTGTTGCCCGAGAAATCAGGCATACACAAGGTGCGCGTTTCTCTGCGTCCAAGATCATCCACTCATCTTTCAATCTGGCGTAATAATCAATCCATCTCATTTGGTTTTTTTTCGGCCATCTCCCAGTCTATTGCATCAAGGCTCTTATCGCATAATTAATATCATCCATCTATACAACCACTCAACCGAACGATGCTGTGTGCCTGAGCGATCCCCCGACTGGATCTCACCATGGCTGACACCCGCTACACTTCGCCAGACCCGACAACCCACGACACGGTCGGCGCGTCTACAATCGCTACGCCTTTGTTTATGCCATCGTCACCTCCTCCTCCTGAGGAGAGATTGGTTGATTCTCTTCCACGTGCTGATAGCCCTGTTTCCGACCGTGTCGCTGCCGAGATTGACGAAGCGCGTTCGCCGGCGCTATCTAGAGCTTCGTCTCCCGATCATCAAGCGAACGAACTCGATGCGCGACTAGCGGAATATACAGTTGATTTTCGCGCTTTATCCGGCACACAGTTAGCTCGCGAAGATGATACGCTACCGGATCTGAAATTTCCGCATGAGGAGGATAAGCTTTCTGAGGTCGGTGGCCCGGAGGACTTTACTGCAAACATGGAGAGGTATCTGATGGGCATGGATGATGACCCGGAGGACAAGGATTGGGAGGAGGGTCAATCAGCGCTCTTGAAGGACAATCCGCAGCCGGCGATTACGCTGCGCGACAAGCATGAGGGTCAAGAAGAGGAAAAGGAGACGGACCATCAGCCACAACAAGAAGTGCACGGCTTACAGCAGCCTGGCCCAGATGATGAAGCGGAAGTTGGCGAGTACAGTGAATTCGGGCCCCCTGTTGACATGTCCACTCCGTCCCATTTCCTGCGTAGGACAGGCGCCTTCGCTAAGGAAATGACCCAACTAGAAGATATTGAGGAGGATCCCGATGATGAAGCCCAACCAGTTTCCACGCCGTCCGTCCAAAGACAGATGGCTACACTGCAGAAGGATACGACGGAGTCAAACGAGGATTTTCGGCGTCAAATCGCCGAATTAAAAGCAGCGATTCGAGAGCGCGATCAGCAGCTTGAGAGAAGCCATAGACGGGTACTGGAAGCCGCTTCTGCCGGGGAGCAGATCAAGCATTTGCAGGCTGAACTTCAGAAGAAATCAAGCCAGTTGGACGATCTTCAAACGAAACGAGACGACGAGGCAATTTTGCGTCAGCAGATCCAGTCGCTCCAGAACRAAAACGACGAAAAAGAGTTGTACATGCGGAGATCTTCATTCAGCCAATCCGGACTCAGTGCGCTTCAGAAACAGCTCGGCGATATGCAAAAGGAGCTGCAGAACAGGGATACGCGCCCGGACCTGGACGCAGAGCGCCTGGAGACGATCGCATACCTACGTCAGCAACTGGACCTGGCGCAAGAACAGTTGAAGAAACGCGATGCTACACTCGAAGACACCCTAGCAAAGCTGAGAGATGTCACCGCAGCGAAAGAGCTACAATTGCGGGAGAAAAATACAGAGATCGATGGGCTCAAGGCTCAAATCGATGATAATCTCATGGAGATTGACAGGCTGGAGACCGAACTAGACCAGGCGAACCAAGAATACCGAATTCTTGAAGAGAAGGTTGAATCTCTGGAGACCAAGAATCGCCCGCTGGAAGAGAAGAATAGCACTCTTGAAGCCGACCTTAACCGTGCCCAGTCGCAGGTTACGGCTCAAGGAAACGCGCTCAAGGCCATGGCGGCAGAAATGCCACTCGAAGCAGGGGGAAGGAATACGTACACCGAGATTCTCGAACTTATTAAAGACCTTGACCCGCATAGCACCACACGCTCGTCCGGCAAGCCTTCCTTGTCAAGGGATGCTGACTCAAAAGATGATGAAATGGAAGAATATCGTCGGGATTTGGCCAAGGCCCGGGCCGAACTGGAGGAGGCATCTTCGATCGGGAAGGCCCTTGAGCTCGATCTGAAGCGGTCGCAAGAACAGGCCGCTGAGGCGCAGACCCTGTTCAAGTCGATTGAGGACGAGAACACCCGCCTCACTAAACAAATAGACGACGTGCGAACTAGCCTGGATAGAGTTCAGGGAGAACTCAACCAGATGAAGACGGAGCATACGGAAGCCCTCGAAACCATCAGCCGTCTTCAGACAGAGAAAATGCAGCAACCCAGCCCTCCCCCTTCACCTCCCACACCTCGCAACATGGGCCAGACAGAGAAGCTCGAAGAATCGTACCGCGCCCAGCTCAAGAGCCTCCAAACCGCACACGCCACCGCCATCTCCACTCTACGGTCGTCCCACGCCGACTCAACCCGCAAGCTACGTGATCTCCTTGCCGCTGCCGAGAAGCGAGAATCAAAACTCAAAGCCGAATTGCAGTCCCTGCTCGCCGCGCGTGCGACGCAAGAGACCCAAATACAGTCTCTTGACGCGGAGGTCAGAAGACTGCAATCTGCGATTGCTGTCAAGGAAGAGGCGGCCGCTGCGCTGGACGAGCGAATCGCCCGGTCCGTCGAGAAGCGCGAGAAAGAGTGGGAGCGCCGCGTGGATCTGCTCCTAAAGGAGAGAGAGCGGATGGCCAAAGCCCTCATGTGGGCCTGGGGGGAGAAGGAAGTCGGCGAGGTCAAGGAGAACCTCGGCGAGGATGGAAGACGAGCCAGGCAGGCCTATCGATACAAGTATGCTCGGAGGAAGGGATCGGAGGGCTAGGAAGTGGATATCTTCCCCATACACTGCTCTCTCGTCTTTTCTGGTGTCATCGGCGTTCATTTGGAAGGTCTGCGTGGGGTTGTCTCTATGTGTAAGATGGTAAAGCTTCTAATCAGTTGATACTGGGCTCTGGGCATAATATAGGCGCAATGGCTTCTCTAGGGAAACGTCTCACTGCGGAAGATTACGATTGGAATACAACTCTACATAACGATTTTTGCATAATTTCCAGAGATAGAAGTGGGTTTAAGATAGAAGCCGTAAGAATACCAGTTACAAGGGTGATCTCTTCAAGGAACAAAATACGAATTCAGCATAATCTACCAACTTTTCAACATATAACAGAGAAGGAGTTCAGTATAAATACTTCAAGGAAAGAGAGAAGACTCATCTACACAGAGAAGAGTATGAAAAGAAACGCCAGAGGTTCCAAAGCTGATCACAAACCATGTCTGAAGCCACTTGACAATATCAAATGCGCTCCTCTCCGTGATTAGGCTTTATCCCTCCAACATGTCTGGCCAGCAGACTCGAAAATAATCCTAGCTAAATCTATGCATACTGGTGCGATTGGCACCGCGGTACGTATTCCTGTCGAGGATGGTGCGCCTCCCTTGATCATCAAGTGTCACAGCTGCTCGAGCTTCGTCCACGGATGAACCTGTCTCCCTGATACTATCCAGGGGT